CAGTAGAGAAGGGGAAGGGGCGGCCTCCCCGGCCGCTCCCCTTCCCTTTCCCCTGATTCCCAGGGGCTCGGAGCCCGTGTAAGATTGGGAAGGGGACAGGGGCGCGCTGCTGGGTTGCGACCTGAGGCGGTGGGGACAGGTCGGGTAAACCTGCGGGGTCTGGGGACGGAGCGTAGCGAGGCACAGTGCAGGCAGGGCGTTTCTTGGGGCCGCGGGCGCTGTTTTCTTTTCAGGCATCTACGCGTCTTTTCATGGACATGAGCGCTTTCCGCCTCCAGAGCTTGGCGATTTGGCTCTTTCCAGGGAAACAGTGGCTGGGCGGTTGCGGATGCGCCTGGCTCCTGAGTCCCAGGACATTGCACTGGGAAGCTTGGACGGCACTTAGGAGCTCCTTCCCCTTCCTTGTCCACAGTGTCGGCGGGCAGTTTCACACACTCACACTCAGAATGACCCATCGCACCCACACCGACACACACTCAAGTGCACCCTGAGCACACATTCACACGCATGTATACAGACTGTTCCTCACTCGGCACCAGTAGCCACTCTTCCTTCTCCAGAGACTGTGAGGTGGAGAGAGACATGTGTGTGCCCCGTTCTCCAGGGCTCCCACGCCTCCAGCCAAGCTGGCCAGTCCTGGAAGGAGTTTAAGAGAAGCAGGCTGGTGGGGTGCTGGCTGGGACCCAAAAGAGCCCCCCTTCTGAGGCCCGAATGAACTTCATAAAGCCTGGGCAGGAGCTGACTCGCCAGGTACCTGGGCACTCCTTATCGCACTCTCTGCTGGGACAGGACAAGGGGGCTCTTGGGGGCCACGTCATGCCTTCCCCGCAAGCAGGATGGAGAACACTGTCTCCACCATGCAGACTGCCCAGGCCTCCTCCATCCAAGAACCAGCCTGAGAAGCCTCCCCTCTGTGCCTGGGGAACCAGACCCTTTTCTGAGGGCCGGGTGGTGGGAAGTTGGTGCTTGAAGAGCCAAGCAGACGCCATAATTTGGCGAGGAATTCTGGGGGTCTTGTCGCGGTGGAAGCACATGCTTCTGTTTCCGATGGTGGCGGCAGTGATCTGGTCAGAAGCCCAGAAGGGGAACATGCGTTCAAAGTGAAAGTGGGCGCATTCCACGGGAACGTAGGGGTGTCGGAGCGCTCCAATCCCTTCCACCCCAGGTGGGCTGGTGAGCTGCCAGGTATGGACCTGCTGTCTGGTCCCAGCTTGCAGACTCGGCCCAAAACTGGGGGCACTTTGAATATCCCCAGCCCCTGCATCCCCACTCCCATCCCGCCTCTCTGCTCTCCAAGGCTCCTGGTCTTCCTGCAAGGTCCAGACCAAGACGGCTGGGCTCCGGCTTTTATCCATTCTGATCTCCAGGTTTGCCCGGACCAATGTAAGTGTTGCCCAATAAAACCTTCTGTGACCCCCTCTCCCACCCCCTTCACCATACACACCACCAGTGTGTCCTTTCCCTGCTGCCTTAGCTCCGGGTAAATATTGATTTGCCCCCAGTTTACCTCCTCCCTGACTGTCCAGTTGCAGACTAAAACACCGGCCTCTGTAGGGACCTGATTTTTGTGTGACTTTCCGGGGCCTGTTTCCCCCCTTCCTTCCTCCAAGCGGCATAGTAAAACTCGAGGTGACAAAGAGGCAGGGTAGGGTTCAAGGCCCCAGTTCCTGACGACTTGAGGGCTATTTTACATACGGGTCAGACAGGGCTGGAGGCCAAGGTCAAGTTGAACGTTGCAGTCTAGCCAATCTGAGAACTGCCATGCAAGCCTGGAGACCCAGGCAGCTGTGAAAGGCCCACCGCCCATCTCCCCTCACTCCTGACTCTTTTCTCCTTGGGAATTCTTGTTTCTGGCTCTGTTTGGTCAGGGAGCAGTTTTTGCTGCCTTTGTGGAGTTTTTCGGGCGGTGTTTACAGACTCTTCTTCTCTGCCTCCGCCCTGCTCTTGGCTCAAGCTTCAAGCCTCTTCTGTTTTCTAGCCAGACCTGGAATAACGAAAACACAGCTCTGGGAGCCCCCACCGAGCCGGCGCCTGTGCCAGCTCACCTCTGGCCATGGCGCAGCTGCCGGTGCACGCAGCGGCCAAGGCCAAGGCCAGCTCCACATTCCTCCATCCCTCTCCCCACTTCACCGGAGACCGAGCCCTGCGTGCAGAGGAAGGGCCCCAGCTCCACAGACTGCCAAAGTCGACTGGGTCTCTCCTCACCAAAAATGGTGAGACAAGATGCTGAGGAGCCCCCGAGCGAGCAGGTTTGTCTGGGAGGGACGGCGCTGGGGAAAAGCTTTGGGTTGCATCTCAAATTAGGCTTTTGTCCCTACGTGGCGGCCCCCCGCCAGGGAAGGGCTTCCAGTCTGAATTATTTATTGAGCGTCGTGGTGGATCTTTAGTGATCAACTTATCCGGATAGTTTCTTAGTTCTCTATCAACTTTCAAACACTCTCCAGACATGGTTACTTGGAGGGAGGCAACCTGTGTTCCCTTTCCCTTCATGTCTTGGATCTCGATGTAGGAAATGATTGTTCTGTCAGGCAAGTCAATGGCGTCCTGGCGTGCCGTCACTGTTTTTAAAAGTCTGCAGGCTCCGCGAGATATAGAGTTGTAGCCACTAACCAGTGGGGATGGTTTATAGAATTTGAATGAGCTCCGTGAATAATTTTGGGTCTCAGTTTCTAGGATTTCTACTCCCTTTGAAGCAAGAAAATCTCTTTCTCTCCCCTTCTTGTCCTTTGTCAAGGGGCGTGAGAGATTTGGGAATGGTTCCCAACACCATTTCTTAGCCTCCTAGCCCTGCAGGCAGCCACTACACTGACTTGCTGTGGAAAAAGAAAGGTTGCAGGGCAATGAAGAACTCGAGTGTACCCTGGGAAGCAAGCACAGAACTCCAGCGCACTTCTTCTTTTTCCCAACAGCAGGATCAAGATTCTTGCCTGCTCAGCTAGTTGGTCCTGACCCTCTGTTTTTTTGTTTTTGTTTTTTTTGGTGTCTACCAGACTCAGTCAGGAATTCCTATGGGGTTTCAGAGAGGTGCTATCCACTTGAATCCTGGCAATAACCATTTTATCCCTTTGTGAGCTCGGTTAAGGAAGCCAGGGCACCCAATGGGATCTGAGGGAGGAAGTGGCCCCTTGAGCAAGAGGGTGGCAGGGGTGGAGGTGTGCCCTGATGTCCCCTAAGGGGGCCCTGATGGGGCAGAAAGGGCCAGATGGGAGGATGGTGGCCGGCCAGGGGCATAGCCTTTGTTCCAGGAGCCAGACCCTTTCTTTTGCCAGACCCTTGGCAGGCATGGCTTCTAGCCTCTTAGAGCCAGCCAGGGTGCCTATGGGCCTCGCTATCCTGGAGTCTCCTTCTGAAGAAAGAGATCTTGGCTATATTTTGGGGGGGGGGGCGGGGAAGGACGGTGGGGGACTCCTTACCAGCCTGGGCCATGGTGAGCTGGGCTCCCGGGGTTAGAAGAGAAAAGGACAAAGGGAAATGGGGTTTTAATCGAGTTTGATTTTCACTAGCAAATGAAATTTACCTGCTCTCACTCTAACTGGGAGGAGGCTGTCAGCACTGCTCCCTGGCGCTCTTTCTCTGCATCCATCCAGCATTAGGATAAACATTCCTGGGTTGGTTTTAAAGACACTTTGTATTTCAAGATATTCATGTGTTTCTAATGTATCCAAGCAGCTTTACGAGCGGCATTTGCAGAACATCTTAACCCTCTCTCTCCCACGGCAGGAGGGGTGGGGTTGCAGAGATAATGGCAAAGGAAGAAAGATATGGAGGAGGGAATGGCAGAGAAGCCAAGGCTAGCTTAGCAGGAAAGAGAAAGAGATTTGGGGGGAAACAACTGAACAGGAAAGAACCCGGAATCTGCAGTCCACTAGGCCACCTGGGGAAGAGACAAGTGTAGGGCCGTTCTGGTCACAGTGGGCTTTGTGGGTTTCCCCACCCTTATTCCACCGGGGTGGAAGCTGCACTCTTTTCTTTTCTTTTCTTTCTTTTCTTTTTTCCTTCCTTCCTTCCTTCCTTCCTTCCTTCCTTCCTTCCTTCCTTCCTTCCTTCCTTCCTTTTAAGGAGGAAGGGTAAGTTCTGAAGAGACCTGAGCTGAAGCTGGGCAGTAGGCAGGGCAATGGCCTACCCTGAGTCACTTGCTCAAGCTTTGGTTCTAGCTTTTTGTGCATTTGGAAGCATTAATGAGGCAGCAAAAGGCCCAAGGCTGTGGGGACAGTTTTGAACTCTGGGAAGTCATGTGGCTCCGTGGTGACCCGATGCTCACAGTGACAATGGAAGTGCAAGCTCCAGGAAGACCCACACAAACAGCACTTGGCCA